CGTTATGTCAAAGAGATTTTACCCCGAAGCTTGGTTCAAACGGTCTGGGTTTGCTCACTGCCGCTGCAACTACGGCATCGTGCGGAGAAGGTGATTGTACAGATTCACTCGATGGGAAGACTGATCGCAGGAGGTGTTGCCCTACCTGCTTACTTGCAAACTTGCGAAAGGATGCAAGACCCAAATCTACAGCATTCCTTGATTTGTGACTAGGCTTTCTCCTGCAGCTGCTGTTGTGAGCTTGATTTGTCATTCGGGTAGTGGACTCCCACTTGCAACCGCATCCGTCACTGCTATCGTCTCCTGCTGCTTTGCTGCTGTCTTTCGAGCATGTTCGGTTCAATGGCAAGATGTTGGACGGCTATAGACTCTAGACCTTGTCAGAATTTTTGCACACGCTCAAGTGATTATTGACCAGTACGAACGATTGCCCACCTCACGACGTTGGTCTCGTTGCTCGTACCTGATCCGAGGCCGTGGCAGTGAGCTGAAGGAGGACGGGGGCCTGGCTTTGCACCACGTCTTGCCAGGTGAGTGGTGAAGAGCACAAAATACATCTCAGAGAGACGAACTGAGGATCAGGAACCTTGTATACAGAAATCGCACAAATCGGCTGTACGCATCCAGTGGTTTGCGCGTATGCTGGCTGATGATGGGAAGTAGACAGAAGTCAGCACCCAGGTCATCAACAAATGTTTGGAGAACTGGGAGAGGTGCCCTGACGTCCGAGTCTTTTTGCACCGCCTGTGTGCGACCGTCTGACAGGTACGATCCTTTCAACACAATGCTTGTCGCGCTGCCCAAGGCACTCGACTTCATCGATGCCCCTCGGCCACACACAAACTCGAGAGACATGGCAAAGAGGGTTTGCAGATGCAGGCCGCAACTACTTAGGCTTATGAGCAAGGTAAGGTTGTTTTGAGATGTGTTGTGAACCCCCTCGGAGCGACAAGATCTACGCCGATCCAAGCAGAACAGTATATCCCGATCGTCCTCGTAACATTTGCGGTCGTGCAACACCAAAGCCTGTTGGATGTCATGACCGTGCACCCCAGAGCAGAGCGGCAGATCTGGGCCGGTCCTATCTGACATGTTGAATTCCACTAATAAAAGCATGAAATAAACCACTGGAGTGAAAACATGTGGTGAATTTATTAGAAGCATGAAAGGAACCATCCAAAGGCTTAATTCAATATGGAAAAGGAAAAATTCAGGCAAAAGACAAATTTCGTATTAAACAAAAGAGGAAAAGAAAATGATAGCGGTCTAGATAAGAAGCAAAAGGAAGAACAGATGCTATTTCTTTTAATAATCATACACTACATTAAAAACATAACTGGCGAATCAAGAGCCGGCATTTCGTTCACCTTTTGCTTCAATCATGCTTTCGTTTCAGCAGATCCAAGCACTACAGGTAAAGTCTTTGACATGCCAATCAATGCTTTGTGCAATGCAAGCTGTCTTCGCCCAATGGGATGTGGTGGCAACTGCTGCTGACTAACCTAGTGTCGTGGGCGCAGATCTGGACTTCACTTGCGGAGGCCATGCTGTTCGGGGTCTCGTGCTGGTTCTGGGGATTGCTTTGTGGGGCCATCTTCGTCACTTTCTTGTTGTCACCTTGTCACCTGGGTGTCGCCAGGGCCTTTGGGTGTGCTTAAGTGCCTTGGTGCCCAGCCCGTGAATTTGTGACCTGAACAACGTATAGCTGCCTATCGCCGCGGTGCATGAGCAGCCGCGCCTCTGCATGCTTCTGATCAGTCGGTGACAGTCCGTGTGGAGGTGGTGCTTGCTTAAGGAGGCCCCATCCATGATGTCCCCGTGCGCGTGGTTCCGCCCTTTGTCAGGCCAGCGACGCCGTGGGTTCCGGATGAGCTAGAGTATGCGAGGCCACAGTTTTCTTTCTTCACGACACCTTCACCAGTAGGCTTGTAGGTCGACGCCGTGCTTTCTTTTGCCACGTTGCCGTCACGAAGAAGTGCTCATGAAGCGGCGCTTTCGGCCCCACAGCAGCAAGACCGAGGAGCAGCCAGGACAGCGCCCACCCCGCGGCCGAGGGCACGGCAAGCCCACCGGGGCGGAGACAGCAGACAAGTGACTGCGCTGAAGGGGATGCGAAGGCGCTCCTTGCTAAATTTCCTGAATCCCTGAAGGGATCTCAAGAAACATCGTTCCAGCTCCTCCTGTATTGGGGCTCCAATAGCAGAAAACCTGAAGCGATTTATCCGAATTGGCACAACAACGATGCCAATCCTGCTTGACATACCTGGTGCAACCAAAAGCAGCAGATTCAATTTTTCTTTGGCATGTATGCTTCTGTACCCCAATGCAGCATAGCGCCAAGCGGAAGGCACGTTTGCTTCGCATGAGTGTCCAAGGAAATTGAATTTAGTATGGCTCAGTGATATGTTTGTTGCCCCGATTACCGTTGTGTTGATGTTGTCAGTCGTGTGCATTGGTTCCTGAAAGGAGGTTGGGTTCTCGTTTGGTGCTTGAACGCGAGGTACGCGATATCGGACCTTCTCTGGAGGGGGGAGAGACAGGGGACGGAGAGGGATCAGAGGGGGGCAAGGCCACCGAGGATAGGAGCGGAGAGGCGGAGGAGAGAAGGGAACGTTGGCAAGGTCAGACGGGGAGGAGTGACGGAACCCAGGGGCCGAGGGTTTTTGCCTTTCACGGAAGCGAGAGCTTCGAGCCGAGGAGACGGTGGAGGAGCTCATGCCAGGGGCCCAGCCGGCCCAGCTCAAGAAAGAGGATATAAGGCCAAGGCCCATTGCAAGCAGTGGTAGGGCCTTATGTCGAATCACCAAGGAACGCTCATCAACCTTCGAAAGGCCAATGCATCCCTGCCAGGGGCTCTAAGCGGCAAAGTAAACGGAGTGCAGATCGGTTCTGGCAAAGTAAAACACCGAAACAACGGGAGTTTCTGGAATGAGGAATCCCTCTTATCGACCGTTCCCAGGAATCACGGTGGGACTCCCGCAGCACCATTGCCTGGGGCCCAAACCAGCGTCTGTGTGAGCTTCATTCCTCATAGAGATGTCTGGTTTCTGCCCAGGACATGAACGCATCGGAAGCGATGTGGTCGATGCACACCAGCATAAATGAGTTATCTTCCCTTCAGAAGTTTGGAGGTTCGGCATTGCATAGCCGAGGTACAACTTGCAGTATGTGCGGACTCTTGGGCCAGAAGCCTGACGACTTGTCCTGCAAAATTGCTTTCTTCTTGCACATGTCGCGACCAGCAAAGAGAAAGAAAGCCTCCTGACACTTTAGGCTGGATATCCGCAGCGACGGCCGGGTGCGGCTGGCCCGGGCCTTTGGTTTCCGAGTACAGCAAGGCGGCACAGCGCTTGGAGCCAGGTCCAGGCGGTGCGTGCCATCCTGCGGCTACGGCCTCAACACGGCCGTACCGGCATATGACGGTCCGACGTGGAGTCTGGAGGCGCCTGCTGATCGCCGGCGGGCCTTACAGTGCCCTTCATGGCAGCCAAGAACTCCAAGCAAAAATTCCAGTTCATGCGGAGGTACCTTCCTCCCTCTACAGGAGCGACGGCAGCGGGCCCCGCACCTCAGCGCGCAGTACTCGCAGCGCTGGCACGAATGTTGCGGAGCGCCAGGTGAGGGAGCTGGAAGTGCTGGAGGCCATGGTTCGCAGCGAGACGGAAGAGGCGCGGGCGCCCCGCGCGCGCGATTTCCGGCCTTTGCTTGCCTCAGCGCGAGGACCCCGCTGTGGCGGAGATTGTGGGCCTGGAAGCGCGACAGAAGAAGCAGATCCAAGAGGTCGGCTGAGCCGAGGGCCGCCTTATAGGCGGCCTTATAAGGCGGCCTTTTTCGGTCGAGTCGAGGCACTCGGGGAGGGCGCCCTCCCCATGCCGAGCCTCCCTGGCCATCTCCAGCTTAGCCAGCTCCGTGGCCGTCACCTCGAGCCTCCCTGGCCTCGGGAAATGGGGAGCTCTGAGCTGATCCGATACATACCTAGGCCTAGGCGCTCTTCACCCGGCGCGGGCCAGAGCGGGAGCGGGAGATGCCAACGAAGCTCCTTTTTTCTCTTCACCTTGTCGCAGGCGGTGGGAAGGCACCGGCCCCAAAGGCGAAAACACAGCCTGGTGAAAGACAGAATCTCATGTTTACAGGAGAGAGGGTGATGTCGAGTTCTCCATGCTGGAGAAGGCCGGACGACAGTGTGGAATGGTCGAACGAGCCTTAGGATCATCTTAGGATCTTTCTAGCGCAGTTTCATAGTCAGGTGGCTGCAGCAAAGATCCAGCGCAGAAGCAAGGAGTCTTTCCAAAGGCACACTGTGCCGTACCTCCCTCTCCCGCTCTCTTCCCCTCCCCCTCCGCCCTCCCACTGTCTCTCTCTCTCAGGCGGCGTGCCAGGGACCCAGAGCTCGAACAGGTTTGCTGCGTTACCAGCGTCGTAGCGAGATAGAGATTCCGAGGACAGGGCCCGTGCCGACCACGTCGACTCGGATGCTCGCAGTTTCGGCCACGGCCGGCAACCCAGTGCCAGTCGCCGGCGGGGCGTCGCTCTGCATCTCGGGGTCGGGGGCTGCGTCGAAGCGCCGCTCCCAAGGACCAATCACACGGGCAGCGGGTTGAGATGCTTCAGCCGCACGGAAAAAGCGTGGTGGAGCTTTTGCCAAGTCTCATGGTGTTTGCAAAACCCGCGGGGAGCACCTCCGCTGTATGCTTGCGACCTCGGAGAATATCAGAAGAGCCCGAACAACAGCAGGCTCTTGTGTCTTGTGGGTTGATGTATGATGCAAGACTCACCGTAAGGGAGGACGCTTTGGGATTTAAGTGTCTAGGTATGTTTCGGTATCCATGCTGCCAAGTGGATGGTTCAGGAGCTTGAAGATTCCAGACAAGACCGAGCATCTTGCTGCAGTGAAGCTGATCTTGGCTTTGCAGCCTACCTCCTAAGACACCATTTAGGCACATGGGCACAGCAAGCACTGAACGATATCCATCATCCGGTCATTCGTTCGGTGGACATTCATGGCTGCCCAGCCGGTACTTGTTGGCGCGGTGGATGTGGAAAATCGCGAAGAGGAGGACGATTTCCTGCTCCCAAAGCAGGTGAGCGAAGCTGTGCCAAAGCCAAAAGCGCTAGACATGGACGAGGATGGCTCCGGCGAGGAGTGCAGTTCATGCTCTTGTTGTATGCGCTTCCGCGTGATCTCGTGTGGCCTGTTTAGCATGGCCGTCGGTTTCATGCTCGCGGTTTTCTTGAGGCCGCAGGTTGGAGGAGTTGCATTCAGTCCAGTGACGCTCGCCTGCCCTGTGCGGGAGCCAAGCTCGCCAGTGCACCCACCAGCGGCCGGCGTCGTGGAGCTCGTGGGCTTCAGCAAGGCATGGTTGGCAGGAGCCAAGGGCTTTGAGGCCCCGATCTTGGTCACTGGTGGCGCTGGCTACATCGGAAGCCACATGAGCTTAATGCTACTGGAGAGAGGCTTTGATGTAGTGATACTTGACAACCTCTCGCGGGGAAACATGCTAACGGTTCGTATCCTGCAGGCTGAGGCCTGCAAGCTGGAACGCTCGCTAGCCTTCGCTAATCTTGACCTGGGGGCCTATGAGCAGGTGGAAAAGCTTCTGCAACGTGTGAAACCCAAGGCGGTCTTGCACTTTGCGGGCAACGCCTACGCCTCCGAGTCCATGGAAAAGCCGCTCTTGTATTACCAGAACGTCACGGAGAACACGCTGAACTTGCTCCGGGCCATGGCATCCGCCAAAGTCAGGAAGCTCATCTACTCATCCTCCTGCGCTACCTACGGCAATCCCAGGAAAGAGCAGGTGCCCGTCACCGAGACACTAGAGCAAAAGCCCATCAGCATTTATGGGCAAAGCAAGCTCATGGCGGAAAAGATGATTGCGGCTTGGGTCGGCCGTGGTGCAGTAGGGACTGCGCGCTGCGCAACCATCTTCCGCTACTTCAACGTCTATGGCGCCGACCTGCAGTCGCATGGCGGCAAATGGGCAAATGCAGGGCAAATGCACACAGCTTTCTTTCATTTCTTTCTTTCTGGCAGAGCCAAGCAGAGCTAAGGTCAAGACTTGGACCTGTACTGCGAGGCGACCTGCGAAGCGACGGCAACCTCACGTTGTGCCGTTGTGCTTCGAGTTTTCTCATAGCAGTAACTTCCGACCTGAGTCTTTTCTCGAGGCGATGACCTGATGCAGTACAGCCGGCTGCCCGATGCTCTGATGGAAGCAGCGCTTGGCTTGAGAAGCTCCGTCCCCATCTTCGGGGCAGCGCCTCGACCTGTCGTCGTCGAGTCGTCGTGTGCGCTTGAAAACACCTCCCTCGATCTTGTACCAGACAGCCCGTCACTAGCAGTTCAAGCTTTGTCTGCTTGGGCTCTACTTGGACTCCACTATAGCTTTAGTGACTTTCGTGAAGTTTCCGCCAAGGATCTCGGAACTCGCGACGGGACCGCCGAGCGGGACTACATCCATGTCTGGGATTTGGTGGGTGCTCACATGGATGCCTTAGCAGCGATGTTGGCAAAAAGTGTTCAAGGAAAGCAGTGTGTGTCAGATGTCTACAACCTTGGAACTGGGACCCCAGTCTCGGTGCAGCAAATGCTCACTGCAGTAAAAGCCCTCTTTCCGGAAGCAAACTTCACGGTCGACATGAAGCCGCCTCGTTTGGGCGATCCGGTTTCCATCTATGCGAACCCCAGCAAAGCACTGGTAGAGCTCGGATGGCAAGCCAGCATCAAGAATACCACCAAAGCATTGGAAACCTCTGCACTCTACTTGAGGAAACATGAGGCCTACTTCCGTCTTGACAAGAAGAGGGCGCCATGGGCGCCAAGAAAAACCCCTGGTGGAGCAACCTCGGCGAACGCAGCCGCTCTGCCGAATGCACCCAACGCACCTGCGGCACCTGCCCAGCCGGTGACTCCTTTTCTGCCTCCTACTTGGACTCGTGCACCCAGCGCTCCAGGTACCCGACATGCACTCTTCAATCGCGTTAATTACCGATTACACGTCTCGGTTGTACATTTAAGGTTGCAGACAGACAAAAGAGAACAGCCCAGGTGAGTTGTACAGATCGCGCTACCGAGATCCGGGCAATCCCTATCAAGCCGGCGATGTGCCAAATGCAACACTTACCTCCGCCCCCTGGGTGGTCCATCGCTTCTCCGATCCCTCGGCGTCACCCCGCATGTGCGTGCAGGTGATCACGATCCCGACGGTGACGGGAGGCTATTTGCCAAAGACCTTCCACCTATTGCGCGAGTACTGCCGAAGGCACAGCTACGACCTTTACGCTTTGACCGACAAGCTGGGTGAGACGAGGGCAGCATCCTGGCTCAAGATCAGAAGCGCACAGGCCGGGACCGAGAGCTTCACAACAATCATTTTAAAAGAACATGGGACACCGTATACCCCGAATAAACCCATGGCCCATGGCATCTTGTGAGTCGCTTCTAATCGCTGCTGAAGGAAGGCCGGGGCGCGAGCCTCAGCGCGTACGTTTTGGGCTCCCATGAAATCTGGGCAATTATATCTACACACGCTCCCCAATGGCCCAATGCTAAACGTGCGGGGCTTCGACAAATTGAAGATTCAGGACTCTTCTACTGCTTGGGTGCAATTCCGTTTCTGGATTGTAAGCTCGCTCTAAAACGCTCTCCATCATTCATTAGCTGGAACGGATACCAACGTTCCTTCAAGCAGTACCAATGTCGTGCCCTTGTGTTGAGCAGCCTGGCTGCGTGTGGTTAGTTTTCAGGACTTTGCTTCGCTTCGCCTCGTCACTCACACCTGTGTATTTGGTTTGCATCTGTCTCGGCCCTCTGCCGCTCGCTGCGAGTTGACGTAAAAGCGCAACACTTTCGTCCAGTCTCTGCAGGCTAAATTTTAGAGCAGAGGAGGACTGCAGCGGCCAACATGTGATGTTAAGAACATGTTTAAGCGTGCACGTCTATCAGGTGGAGTTCACTCTCCTGAGGCTGAAGTGAATCTAGGAGCTGTCTTTGCATCTAGAGCTTTCGGGGACAAGAAGTGGGTTGAAAAAAATGATGCTGCCCGGCTGAAGTCTGCCACAGGCCATCATCCGCAGCAACACGGGATGCGACTATCTGTTCTGGATAGATGGTGATGCTGTCATCATGAATATGACTTTCAAGCTGGAGACGGTCATCGGTTACAACGGCAACAAGGACACGGATGTCGTCGTGTCTGGTGACACAGTAGCTGTCAATGCTGCTATGGGGCTTTGGAAGATGACGGCATGGAGTTGGCAGTTTCTGGAGGACATGTGGAATGTTGGTGACGTTAAGCTGTGGGAAACTGGGGCCATCAACGTTCTCATAGCCAATTGCACGCCAACGGATCCGATAGCCAAAAAGAATGCTTGTTACTCCCATAGCGATAGAGGCTGGGTAAACAAGACTTTTGCGATATATCTTAAACTCGCCGAGCCTTGGGCCATTGACTATTTGCTGGTCAACAAGTCCCTGGTAGACCATCTGGTCTGGGTGCCCAAGCGCCTTATCAACAGCTACCCCAAGGGCCTCTTCGGGGGCCAGCTTGAGAAGACGACAGGCACAGATTTTCTCGCACACTTCGTGAGCGGTGCGGGGAAAGGAATGATGGATGACTGGTGGCGGACATCCATGACGAAGAACAACATCACCGAGTTGCCTGTTGATCTGTTTGGGCCGACCACTACCGCAAGACCAGCAAGGTAGTTATATGTCGCTGCCGTGAGTTTGTTGTTGTCAGAAAATGTCCACGTGCCAGCTTGCCGAATCAAGCTTGAACGGTGCCTGCGTAGGCCACAATTGTGCTCGCATCAGTCTAGCTTCGTAGCATCGTCAAATCCAACTCCTGGTCGCGCTGTGTGCGACTTCACCATAGGGCCCTTTCTAATTGTCCTTGCGTCCTTCGGCGAAATTAGCCCGAGCCCCATACGTTGTCATGCGTTGACGCCCTGATTCAAAACAGACTGGTTGGGGTCTGGAAATTGGGAGTCCATTTTGAGACATTGTAAGCTTGAAGTCCGGGATTCATCCATGCATCCTCGCCAACGGTTGCTTGGCATGATGCGTGACTTCTGTGCGATTGCTGCAGATTAGGGCAAGCCGCTCAGTGGAAAGCTTCCACAGGCAGAACAATCAGAACAACGGTCCACGACAGGTCAGAGTTGTGTCTGTCAGGTTCAGAGAGTTGTACACACTTGCATGGGAGGAGTCGCAATCCCGAGCGAGCCATAATCCCAACCGTTCCTAGAAGAGCTTGGTGAGAAGGCTCAGGGGTTGCTGAAACCATGTTTGTCACAAGGTGCATATGCCCCGATGCCGCTCTTTCCTTTCAGGCTCAATCCATCCGGCTGGGGTGCGCTAAGTTGCAGTCTTGCGAAGCCTTCGTAGGTGGATGTTGCATGCCGTTGTCTTTCTGCAGACCTGCCGCCATGCCTGCCGAGCAGCTTTTTGTCGGGCCTGCAAACAGCGAGAGATGATCCTGGAATACGGGGTGGCGGGGGAAGTGGTGTGTTTTCTTCTGTTATTGAAGTGGCGTTTTAACGTCAAAGTGCGCGCAGTCTTCCAAACTGCCCCATGCCATCGGCCTGCCATCGGCCATCATCGGCGATCGAGGCACGGGGCTGAGCGCCGTCCGTGGTGGTTCAGGACCTGCAGTGCACGAATGAGAACTTTCTCTTGCTGCTCCCCGGAGTCCTCTTTGAGACGAAGCTCAACAAGTGTTTGACTTGGGGGCCAACTGTCAACCGTCAGCCCAGAGACATCGAATGAGGCGATATATGGCACACTCGCACAGCGCTCGCACCGTTGCAGCAGCCCTGGAAGGTTTGCTGAAGTTGGTTGAGGACTTCAAAGAATGGCTCAAGTGCATCCTTGCCAAGGTCCAAGCTGGAAGGCCCTAGACGGCAAACGCAGTGGCTCATCCCTCCGTACTGGAACTAAGGTTTCCGTTTTGCAAGACTCGCGCACAACCTGTGACCGAAACACTCAGCAGACTTTCCCGCATCAGTTTTCAGGATGTTCAAGGCTTTGCTCCCTGTTCGCAGCATCTGCCTCCGCTTGTCCGTTTTGTGTCTTGGTGCTTTGCCTGCAAAGTCTGCCTTTTCCGTGCTTTGATAGCGCAAGAGTCTCGAACGAGTGACGGTTCGGGCCTGAGAGGTTAGCTGTGATCCTTCGCCCTGGAGTTGCTCAGGCAATGTTTGAGTATGGTCTTCTGGTTGCTCTTAGAGTCTTGGAGGGCAGGTGCTCCCCACAGGGGCAGCGAGCAGCAACATTCGCTTCAAAGAACATGACATGCAGCATTCGCAGTACACCCCATCACTTCGCTGCAAGCGAGTGTAGCATGCAAGCGCTATGCTCTGGGCGAGTCTTGCGCTGGGAGCCGTTGCAGTGGCACCCAGGCTGCAGTTCTGCCGCTCTGTGTCCTCGCCAGCGACGCCTTGACTTGACGGCTTGACGAGCCTGAGGCTGTTTGTGCTGCGCAAGCGGATGAGGACACCAGTTTGCTCCTGCAGTATGGAACTCGAGACAGGTTTCACATCCCCCAAACTGAAGAGTTTCGTTGGGGTTGGCATCGCAAGCTTCGGCGCCGAGCGAAGCATCGTAAAGCTTGGCATCCTGCAGGTGGGGCTTCTCAAACCTACAGAAACTTTCAGGTCGCAGGTATGAAGACAAACGAGACACCTCTTCAGGTTACGGTGGCTACAGCACCGCTGGCAGGTCGACGACATTGACCAGCACCCTGACTCAATGTGGTTATCCCATCTTGCAAGGCAGAACCTACGATCTTCACATCTTCTCGTTCGTGGGTAATGGAACGACGGCAACGGCCGAGCGGGTCGCCGGGCAGCTGGCTTTTGAACCCTCTACACATGAAAGATTTGCGGAGGCGGTTCTGTCAGGCCTCCGCACCGAAACTGCGAGTTTCCCTGACCGGCGAAAGCTCTGCGCATGGAGCAGCCAGAGGATGCTAGTCTGCACGGAACACCACAACGGCAGCACTGGCAGTCTTATCTCTGCCAATGCCATTGCTTCCGCAGTCGCCCAACTGGCAATCGATGCGGAGAGCCTCAACGAAAGCAACTTTTCCGGCCTCGGCGCCGTCCAAGGCGATCTCCAGCAGGTCTTTGGCCTCCTGGACACAAGCGGTGACTTCACCAGCTTCTTGAAAGTCTCACATTTCGGGGCTCAGTCTTGCGTGCCAGCGGGCTTCGAGTTCTCGCCTCCCGGACGCGGTTCCCTCCTGCGAGACTCGAGCTTTGCTGCCCGTATCGATGTCGGCTATGCCGGTGCCGCCGTTGCCGGCACATTGGACAGGTCCGAAGCCGATTCCAAGTTTCCCAGCCTCCTGGGCCAACGCTTCGACGTTTCTTGGACGCTGTTCCCAGCCCGCAGTCGTGAAAAGGTGCAAGCAGGTAGTTTCAGTTCCGTGCGCCGACGAGCAAGGTGCTACCGACGGCGAGACCACACGGTGGCCACAGCGATCGACGTTGTGAACATCACCGGGACCTTAATGTTTACCGAGCAGTTGAACTACCAAAACCAACCGGAGCCTGGGAATGACTCATTAACATGGACCAAGGCATGCCTTCGAGGTTTGCAGGGGTTTCGGCTCATTAGAGTCCGAGGACAGCAGTGGCAGGTTCGCGCTCGCGACTTACTCTGGGCTTGTGGCTTCCCCAGCAGTTCTGACCATGCCGTCGACAGTTAGCGAGGTGTGTGCCTTCCCTGACAAGAGGTCGCTGGTTTGTTCGAGGCTTGTGGAGGCCACAGAGGGCAGCCCCATTTTCGGCAGCTTCAGCAGCGTAGCAGTCTTTGTCAATGCTTATGCCAAAGCGAGAACAGTCATGGAGAGCAGTGCCGACCAAGCCTTTGAGAATTCCGACGAACCATCCGACGTCATAAATCAAGTCGCTGAAGCCTTTGCTTCGGCGGGGTTTTCAAACGCCAGTACTCTCGCCAGGGCCGTGGCAATCGGTACTGCACTGGTAGGCTCTGTGAAGGCGGCCGCAGACGAGAATCGACGCTTCACCGAGCTGCTTCAACTGGAGCGCTTCGACTGCTCAGGCGATTTCACATGGGAGACCTGTGTTCCGTGGTTGATCCGTTTCGCGAACCCTGGTCGTGGCTCTTCCTGGGCCAGCAGGGCAATTCCACGATCGAGAGCTTCGATGCAGTGGCCGTTGGCAGTGCTGTGCGGCATGGCTTTGACTTTGAGCTTCCTGAAGAAGACACTGACACAGCAGATCCGATCCCCTGCAACTGCTCCTTTAATGAATACCCCAGTTTTTCTCTTGCAAAGAAGCTCCGCGTTACCCTCACACGATTCAGCCGCTTGGAGATCCCGGAAGCGCCAGGCATCCCTTCAGACGGACCGATTGGAAGCAGAAGTCTTGGGCCAATTCAACGAGCAAGGTCTTTCCGATGATGTCGGTCGCTTCGTGTACTTGGAATTGTCAGGGGGAGATCCTGCTTCCAAGATATCGCTGGCAGTCTGCGCAAAGGCATCGAAGAGCTCACTGGTTTGCGCAAGAACGAGCCTGCTGAATCAAGAAGCCATTGCTGAGGCGCAGGTGAGCATTGCAATGCAAGTCGTGGCTGACGCAGACGCCGCAGCCGGGGGCCCTCGCCGCGAGCACCCTCCTCCTCGAAAGCAACGCTGAGTTCACATTGGAGCTATCCATTGCTGACTGCTCGCCGGGTACTTGCACAGTACAGGACGCCCAACTTCTATCCGCTGGCCGTGGCACGCTGCAGCTTGGAGCGCAAAGCCTAAACAACCAGGACTCTTAACCATTCTAAACTTCCGAAAGGACGCATGACACAAGCGGTTGTTTGCAACCGCCTTTTCGGAGCATTATCATAACAAGGTTGGACTACGTGGACAGAGATGTGGACGGCTCCAACGTCACTGTGGGTGTGGCAGAAGCAGTCGTGTCCATTGGCAATGCAAGCGCGACCTAATGAGGAACGACAAGCCCCGACAGACGGACAAGCGTCACCCATCGTCCATCGTTGCACTCATTCAAAACGGGCAACAAGAATTCAAACGTCGTAGGAGGCGGGGGACATGCCTGAGGGACGACAGCAACAGATTCAGAGCAGCTTTTAATCAGTATGGTGTGATCCAGACCTTGAATTGCCGTGGTCCCTTTGTTGACAGTGAGACTCCCAAGTGCGAGTTGTTCCAGCTCTCCACAGATGAGGCACAGATGTATCTCACCAAAGACGGTCAGCACAGGCAGACCTCTCAAGAACACCCAAGAGCTGAAACAAGCTCTTGCGACGTCTTCAGGACAAAAAACATGAAGCATGTGACTCATGTGACATGTTGTGTCTCTGCCGCAAGATGTTGTGACACAATGACCGGCACATGACTTAGCCTGTGTCTGAGAATCCATGTCACCTTGAAAGCATGCTTTTCTGCGAGCGGCTGCACATGACAGGAAGAAGGGGCTGCAAGGAGTTGTCACGAGGTTAAGAGAATCGCATAGTGTAGCTGGAGGCGTGCTAAAGCCGGAGCTTCCAGAATGGCAGCGGCCTTTTCCCATGGAGCTGGGGCCCGACCATGGCCACGTGATCTCTCACGTGACGAAGACTTTCCGGGCCTTGTTGGAGCTGCTCGTGGCGCACCAGGCCAGCTTGCTACCCGAAGGCTTCGAGGCGGGGAAGTGTAAGTGCAAGTCTCAGATGCCAGACCCCAGTCGCGGCTTTGTTGGAGGCGACCTGGCAGCGTCTCCAGGTGGCCCTGCTTTGCTGGAGCAGCGGCACAGATGGCCTTTGTCCTTCCCTGGCGGCACGGAGCTGTGAGGCAGCTGAGAGTATACCTCTACAGTACATATGTGAATTCGACAGCACTGCGCAGTGACAATCACCACTATCATACAAAGGACAGCGATTGATCTACGACAGGAGTTAAGCCAATTCAGACATTTTGCACTCTTCAAATCAGGAATGTCTGTGATCTCTACGCGTACGGGGACAACCAAAAAATGACAAAGCACTAATGACAACTCTCGGCATTGGCTGTTTAAGTGATCAGAATAGCACCTCAATTTCTGAATGCCTAGCTTGAGCGTATGCCTTTTTCATGTGATGTTTTAGGCAGCGATCTTGTAAAGCAACTTAACTTGTATATGGAATGATCCTTGCCGTTACTTCTCGAAGGGCGCTTGAGTCAGAGTGAAAGGTAGAGTCCAGGGTGCCAGTGAGCGCTGCTGCTGGGTATCTCTGCCGAAAATGGTCCATGTTTCTCTTTCGTGACCTCTCTCAGCACCTCTTTCTGTTGCAGTTGAAGGCCTGAAGCTAGATCCACCATGTTGAAGCCGCAGCAGAATTAGATGGAGATTGGGAGATCCCCCTGTCGGATGAACGGATGGGGATGCACCCTATTCCCGATCCTGGGGCCGCAGCTCCTGAAAGGGAGGAAGAGGAGAATCGAAGATCGCGAACGAGCATGGTTCGAATCACGTCCACACAGTGAAGCCCGACGAAGAGTTGGCGCAAGCTGCCGCAGCGAGTGTGAGAAATTCTGCAGGCAAACCTTAGCAGTGCCAGGAAAGAGTGTGAAGTGCGAACAAGCCCCAAGCCGAGAGCACATCCATCCTGTGGGACTTGGTCGAAACTACATCTTCGAAAATGTGGTACGAGTTGATGTGCTGGAAGTCATGGACTCACAAGGGACAGAATTTCGTGCTTCAACATAGTTGGTTTTGCTACAGGCGACAGCTAGACGTGCTGAGAGAGGTCACGAAAGAGAACCGTGGGCCCCCTCGGCAGAGATGTGCAAGCGTTCCAAAGGTGACTGGCTTGGGCTTGCCGAACTGTGATGGCAGACAAAGGGACACACAACAAAGGAACTTTCATGACACAATGAATTACTTCACGAGCAAGGTGTGGATGTCCGCGTAGCAGGATGGAGTAAAGGAAAAATTGACCGGCACGGTGGACTAGCAAAGGCCGTTATTCGCAAGACAGCTTCAGAGGTCCCGACCGTACGGCCACTTTTGCGGATTGAAGTTGTTCGGGGGGAGCGGGGTGGTTTCCTAATCAGGAGACCACATTAGGTAGGCCGTGCATGAAATGGTTGGCCAAAAGCAGCAGCCGAAAGCTGTTGTAAGTCGTGAAGGGTCCTAGTTACTAGTTTTGACGACATCCGTCGCTTGACTGGACAACCGCTGCCCGCGTCTCTGGATTCAGACGCTAAAGCAGTGTCGTCTGGAATTGCGCGAACGGACGTCATGCACAACTGCCGCAGTCTTCAGGGCATGCCGCTAGGGCAAGTATCCATAATGAGTACCCCAAGATTGTGAGCAAATCGTGTCAAAGCCTTAAATCGCAAATTGTGTTGCTCTGCGTCCGTTTGAGGCTCTGGTGCATACGCTTCGTTTGCTGGATGCCTCCGAGACCTGGCTAAAAATGAGCTCGACTCTGGCTGCCGCAGAACTTGAACCTAGCAGAGCTTCCGCGCTCCATATTCGTGTGTGTGTGTGTGTGTTGTGTTCTGACGTATACAATGCCCAGTTCCACGCACGGACGTGTATGTATGAATGAAGGTATTGAATGCACATACTTCTGCATGCATGTGCGCGCTTCCTTCCGCATGCGCATAGCGAGCAGCTCTCAATGATGTGAACCTAAGCCCTGAAAGGAAATGTTGGTTGGAAAACCCCATGGCAAGCCAAAAGCCCTCAATGTAAGTGTTGGCAAATTCTTCAAGGAGGACAATGCCCACGTTGTCGGTGATTCGTGGCACGTAGACAGAGCTATAGGCATCTCACCGAAATCGCACATGATACCAATAACCAATCGCCCAAAGAGGAGAGGAAGCGGGTGGAAGGGGTGGTGGGGGTGGGTGGGGTGGGGTGGGTGGGTGGGGTGGCTGGGTGGTTGGTCGGGTGCCAGGGTGGGTGGGGGTGGGGGTGTGGGGGAAGTCGAGGTCACAGTGGGGATGGAGGTGGGGCTTCCCCCGGACCCACCCTCATGATTTAAATTATTTGCATTATTTAATTCCCGGCTCGAATTAAATAATTAAATACGGAGGGAGGCTCCGGATTTTTTATAATTTAAAGTATGTAATTCCCGGGGTCCCGGCCTCCCCCCGGGAATCTAAATTATTTAAATGATGTAAATATTTGGGGACCCCCAATATTTGAATTATTTAAATTCTGGTGCTCCGGACCCTCCCGACCTCCCCCTCAGGATTTAAATTATGTAAATTATTTAAAATCGTTGGAATTTCAATAATTTAAACCATTTAAATATTGGAGCCCCCCCCAAATATTTAAGTTATTTAAATTCGCTGGAATCTAAATAAGTTAACTAATTTAAATAGTTCAAACAATTTACGCAATTTGAAATAAAACTAAATACTGGGAAGACTCCTGGGGAGGGATCGGGCCGGGAATTTAAGTATTCGAGGCCCCCAAATATGTAAATTATTTAGAGTATTTAGATTCGCGGGAATTTAAAATGTTTCAAGAATTCAAATAATTTAAATAGAGTTACATACTTAAATCCTGGGGAGACCCCTGGGGAGGGATCGGGCCGGGAATTTAAATAATCTAAATATTTGGGGACCCCCAATCTTTACTCATTTAAATTCTGGTGCTCCGGACCCTCCCGAACCCCCCCCTCAGGATTTCAATTGTTTAAAGTATTTAGAATATATAAATTCGTTAATACTTTAAATATTTGGGAGCCTCCAATATTTAAATTTTTTAAATATTTAGGTTCCCAGCCCGACCCCACCCGGAAACCCAAATAGGGTTTATTTGGAAACTGGCTCTTGTATATATAATACTGGGTGCCTGCCCTAAGTCGCCGCGCACCGCCCTAAGTCGCAACAATCCCGCGTCACCTTGCGGAAACGCATTGCAAAGCCACACAATCCACTATGTCGATGACTTCTTGCTTGCTTGTTTGTGCAGCGTCACCTGGCGCAAACAGAGTGTCAAGCCATACATGATGACGTCTTGCATGTTTGTTAGTTCTGCGTCACCTTGCGGAAACGCAGTGTCAAACCATACAATCCACTTCTTCGATGACATCTGGCATGCTTGCTTGTATAATTACTCCCAGTTGGGAAACTCGTTGCGTATCGTTCGTCGCAGCGCCAGACCTTCGGGGGAAGCTTTGTTGCGGGGTCGTTGCGTTTCGGTGTGCACATGGGGGAAAGGCTTTCAAGATGATGATCTGCGGTGTTTGTTTCCCTGCAGGGTCCAGGCCCTAAGACGTCCCAGGTCCAGTGTGCAGTTGGGGATTCTGCTAAAGCGCGTCCATCGAAATCTTGGGACATGCTGGTAAAGTAGAAAGGCTGGCTTTGTTGCTCTTTGCTGCGATGCCACTGAAGTCTGAGGTGGTTCTTGAGTGGCTGCTTGCAAAATCGAGCGTCTACATGGGGAAAGGGTGCTTTTGATGTGCTGTTTGCTGCTGCTGCTGCTGCTGCTGCTGCTGCTGCTGCTGCTTGCTGCTGCCACCACGCCCACGACCACTGCCGCTGCCATTGCGACGGAGGGCATCGCTTACGCACTGCTTACGCGTACGCGCAGCTTACGCGAATTGCGCCACTCACCACACAATTTTAAACCTCTGCCAGGCTCCCGAGCCAGCAGAAGGCTGCAAATACCAACAGCAGCACGTGCGCGGGTTAATTACATGCATCTCGGGGTCCGTTCTTCACTTGTCCCCGGAGGTGTGCACTTGCAGAAGGCTGCAAAAACCCTTCTTCGATGACGTCATTTGTGCGGCGTCACCTTGCGGAAACGCATTGTCATGACGTGAGTATAGCTGGTTCGGACGTGCTGAAGTGCCATGTTGTGCCACTGATGCGTGTCGCTTGTGCGGGCTTGTGAAATCGAGCGTCTACGTGGGGAATGGCTGGTTTGGACGTGACGAAATGCCATGTTGTGCCACTGATGTGTGTCTTTTGCGCGCGCCTGCGAAATCGAGCCTCTACATGGGGACTGGTTGTTTCGTATGTGTTATGTGACTGTTGTGTGTCTCGCGGGCGTGCTTGTGAAATCGAGCGTCTACTTCAGGAACGCCAGATGCCCTATATGTTCGGGACATGGATTTCGTGTGCATCCTCCCACATATTCCCAGGGCTGTCGCAGCATTTCCATCGAATCGCACAGTTTTCCTGCTGCGGCACGGCCATGTCAAATCGCGCGTCACAATGGGGATTTACAAATTTGCTGTGACTTTCTGGCGCGTGCTGTGACTTTCGCCGTCACAATGGGGGAAGCCGGCCGTGCTGCGACTTTTGGCGGCGTGAGGCGACTTAGGGCGGGTACCAAGTAGGGATGTGGGTCACTTTGCCCTATCTGATCTAGAATACGAGTGCCAGTTTCCAAATAGACCCGGTTTAAGCCGCACAGGGACGGGGGGCTACGAACATGCGACACGGCACCATGTAAACATATGTGATTATATGTGTCGTCGATGTCTTGACAGGTAAATAGATGGACAGATTGATCGGTAGATTTTCGCAGATACATAGTACATAGATAGATAGAGCGACAGACGGATGGATGGATAGATAGATATACGGACAGATGGATTGATGGGATAGACAGAAGGATGGATGGATGAGTAGACGTATAGACGGATGGAGAGATGGAGACGATAACATTTCAGGGCTCTCAGAACCAGCACGTGTTTGTGTAAGGAGCTTCCTTGGCCTTCCCGCGCTCTTTGCTATCACGGCTGCTTCCTGTCTTTGGCAGCGGCCCTTCGTGCCTTCAGCTCCGTGTGCGACCTCCTGGTGCCTGGACAGGTCCGGAGTATCTACTGTACCCACATGTATCGTAACATCTTCATCAATGGCGTCCTCGCCAAAGGACATCCATATCCTTATTCGTAGCTTGTTCTGTGAAATTGTTAGGCAAGCTGATTTGGAAAGGTTTTGTATTGCAGTGATAGCCAAAAACGGTCCAGGAGTGTGTCACTTTTGACAGTTGTGGTCGGAGAAATCTGTCCTGGAGTAGTTTCGTGTAAACGGTTTGCCGTCTGCTGGTGTTGCGATCGGAGAAAGGAGCTCCGATTGGTAAAGGGTCAAAGGAAACCGTCCCAGGGCAGTTGTTGCAGATATGCGAGTGGAGAACTGTCCTGGAATAGTTGGGTGTTTGCGTGCTTGTGACCATGCGTGTGACAGCTGGAAGCCAGCAGTCCTGGCATAGTCCGAAACGGTTAAATAGTTATCTGTCTGATCGGTCCAAAATGCAGTCCTGCAGCTGGTCATTTATAAGTGCGGTGGTGGTGTTTTGCTGGAAAAGTCGCGTTCGTGGCCTGTCGGAGAAGTTTGATCGTACTGTGGCTGGAGAAGCCATTGTTGACACTGTTGCATGTTCGATGGAGAACAAGCTGTGCTGGGAATTGTGCACAGCTGAAGGCTGGTCAACGAAAACTGTCCGTTGCGTGTTTGATCAGATCGAGTTTGAGGTCGCAGCAGAAGGCTGTCTAGCCACCCTTCAGCCAGGGAGACAGCTACACAGGTCGATAGAAGCGAATACAAAGGTTCAACATGCACGTTGCTTTTGGTAAGCGGCATTGCTGCAGGGTCAAAACAAAGCCTATAGGCCTACTCTGTACTGTACACCTTCATCCAAAGCTCCTGACATGAAGCCCCTCCAGGGTGTGACACTGATTGGCTTGCAGACGGCCTTAGGGCAACAGCTCAACGGCGCCGGAAGCCCAGACGAGAAGCCTGATGCTGTCCTAATGCCTTTACATGCTTTTCGTTCTTGGATCTTGTTTGGGTTTGGGTGTGGTGTTAGGGCTCCCGTGTGCTCACTGTGGTTTTGGTGAATGTCTGCAAAGTTAAAGAGATGTTACCTAGTCTCGAGCGAAGTCTTGAAGCTCTCACCACTGAGTTCCTGAGGCCCACGCTGTGGTGCAGCACTTCCATGCTCAGACGGGCCGCTTCGCCGTCCTGGGCCTTAGTGCCGATGCCGACGCGCTGAAGGCTGCAGTGTAGCAGACAGTTCCGAGTTTCGAGGTGTGCTTGAAGGAGGGAGATCCTCCATGTGAGTGGTGACTCGGCTGCAAGAGGACTCTGCAGACTCTTGAGAGCCAAACCGTGCTTAAAGTCGCACTTGCAAATCTTAAGAACCCCCCCCCTTTCCCAGGAAGAAGATCAGGCCACAGAATCTACAAGCTGACCCGGATCCTTCTTCGGCCTCATCGATTGCTCTGCAGGGTGCCAGAGAATGTGGGAGCTTCTACTTAACACGGATAGACAGTCAAGCTGCTCACGATTCACAATGAGTCCTACACGAGGAGAGCTTGTCTGGAGTCGGTTGCGGAGATTTTCGATGACCTGCTCCTCATGATTCACGACGAAGATGACGACAGCCTGAGCATCCTGCATTCCCACCTCAGCGTCGCTCGGTGCCACAACAAGTGTCATATCTGCAACCGAGCACCGGACTCCACTGAGGCATCGATGTGGGAAGCCTTGATGCAGTGCGTTCAGGACAGGAGCCTTGGATCTTCCGCCCTGTCACGCCCTCAGCGTCGGAGTCCTCGGAGAGTCTGTGCCCCGGACCCCCCAAGAGCAGGGCGCTCCGCGGTGCTCTTCCCCTCGCATGAGTTAAATCGCTAGCACGCACGATGTTCTGCTGTTCTGCTCTGCGACTGCCGGACATGTTCAGCTATGGCTTTCTGCTAGAAGGCTTGTCTGCCAAAATAGCAGGGTTTTCTCGTCACACCCTTGTGGCCATAGACTTTCTTCTGGCATTCGTTGAAGTTGCCTCATAGCAAGGCTGGACCTGTGCAGCAATAATGCCACCCTTTGCTCCGTCCTGGCCCGCCACATCTTCTCGGCCCGGAGACCGAAGACACTGTCTCCAAGTCCTCAAGTCGTGGCCCTTGGTCTCAGGTGCCGGTGGAGCTCTCCAGGCCTCGTCTCAGCTCCCCAGGTTCCCAAGTTCCTGTTCCCATCTGTTTTTTTCTGTTTCGGAGGTTTTCAGAGGCGCCGACTCAGCGGGTCCTGCGCCTTCAGGCCAAGGGGGGCCTTGGGGGTGCTTTCGGGCTTTCGGCCGCAGCCGGGCGAGCGGCCAGGAAGGCTTTGCCCGCGCCTACTGCAGACTCTACCAGCAGCTTTCCCAGAGCCAAGCCTTCCAAATTCTGTACCAAGCCTGGGCCTTCACGGAGGCCTGATGCCCTTTGGGACGCGAGCCTCGGCGGAGGCATTGCAGAGCTGCAGGTGGGAGCAAACCACTCGCAACGAGCAGAGGGCCCCCTGTTGGAACGAATCGCAGGTTGAGCTAGACGGCCATGTCTTGAATCTCGCCGCCGCGGCAGTACAGTGCGCACTCAGATCTGTCGGCTTCATCAAGCGCTCAAGAGTTTAAGACCTAAAGCTAATCTCAGACAAGCCGCACTGCTGTAGCTTGCTGAACGCGCTACGTGCACGCAAGAGTTGATCCTCAGCCTGGATGACACTCAGCAAGTGTATTACAAGTATCAGTACGTCCTTACTGAGGGCGGACGTCCTGGAAAGCTTTATCCAGTGCTGCAACATCCACGTGGCGTGGTTTGCGGCGAGCTCATATTCGGAGTGAGACCGCCAGCACTTGAGCTCAGAGAAGAGAACTGCTGGATCCTTCTTCCAATAGCTGCATTACTGTTTTCTCAGCCTCACTCTCTCTTTCTGTCTCGCTCGTTCTCTATCTATCTCTCTGACACTCACTCTCACTCATTTGTCCGTCGAAATGTTAGTTTGCATGTGCTTTTGTTTTCCCGAAAGCATCGCGAAGGGTTCTTCCGTGCGGAGCCGGGTAGATGAGTACATAGATGACAGACATAGAATCAACTTTCTTGACTCTATACCTTACTTGACTCTACACTTGATAGTTGACTCTATGCTATCTCTGTTCAAGCTCATAGCACTTGACACTTACTTAGTTACTTATTACTTACTTACTTTTACTTACGTACTTGACTCTATGCTATCTCTATACTTACTTACTCACTTACTTACTTGACTCTACTTACTTACTTACTTGACTCTACTCACTTACTTACTTACTTACTTACTTACTTACTTGACTCTATGCCTCTACTCTATACTTACTTACTTACTTACTTGAACCTACTTACTTACTTACTTACTTACTTGACTCTATGCCTCTATGACTGACTCTCTATGCCTCTATGACTTACTCTCTACATCTCGGTATTTAAATCTCTCTTCTAAAGCCAGGGGTGGCACCGTTGTCGTCCATCGGGAATGCAACCCTTCACAGGGATTGGCCACCTCGAGCGCCCAAACGCTAGGTAAAGTTACACATTTTAGGCGCCCGGCGCAACCCTTCACAGGGATTGGCCACCTCGAGCGCCCAAACGCTAGGTAAAGTTACACATTTTAGGCGCGCGGCGCAACCCTTCGCAGGGATTGGCCACCTCGAGCGCCCAAACGCTAGGTAAAGTTACACATTTTAGGCGCGCGGCGCAACCCTTCGCAGGGATTGGAACTCTCGAGCGCCCAAACGCTAGGTAAAGTTACACATTTTTCGGGCGCCGTGAACCCTTCACAGGGATTCGCCCGAGGTAAAGTTACACATTTTGCTTGCGCCGCGCAACCCTTCACAGGGATTCGCTTCCTCGGGCGTTCAAACGCGAGGTAAAGTTACACATTTTGCGGGCGCCGCGCAACCCTTCACAGGGTTTGGGTGCAGCTCAACTGCATTTTGCAACCCTTCACAGGGATTGGCGTTGTCGAAAGCACGAACGCTAGGTAAAGTTGCATTTTTTGATGTGCATTGAGATGAATTTTGCAACCTTTCACAGGGATTGGCGTGGTCGAGTGTTCGAACGCGAGGTAAAGTTGCAATTTTTGAGCCGCAGGAAAAAGGATCGCTTGCTTCGACGCTGTCTTGCGAAAGAGCGAGCATGGATGTGGCCGCCATAGCAAGAAGATCGCTTGCTTGTTGTTCCTATGCTGGCAACCTTCGTGAGCAGCTTGAGAAGTTACTCGGCAAGCCGGGTACGTGACGACGAAGGCCGGGGAGGGTCGCCTGGGAAGAGTAGCCTAGTCTAAGTCCAGGTTCCTCCCGCGCTGGCTCTCCACCCCCAACCCGACTCCGAAATGCTTCGTGATGCAGTGTAAGGTCTGTTGTTCTGTATAGATCGAAGTCAAATCGAAGGCTTCCGTGGTCTCACTTGATCTCCCGAACTCCCCCGAACCAGTTGTATGTGTGTGTGTGTGTGCGCGCTACAGAGACAAACAACGCATTGCACGAAGCGTGCATCTATGGAGCAAGCGTGGACATGTTGCAGTTGCCGTTGCAACATCGAGCGGATGTGAACATCAAGACTATGGATGCGTCAACATATCCAGCCGATGTGCAGGAGTGCACCATGAAGTCGTCAGGTACCATGGACGTCTCAGGCCGATTGACAACAGAAGGCTGCCGAGCGAGAACTATGATGGGCGAACCATCAACGGCAACCTCAAGTGCTCGCATTGGTACATTGGTGCGGCGGAAGCGTAGTGATTCCCAATGCCTCGGTTCATCTCCAAGTCGCTTCGTTCTCCTCCTGGCCGCGACATCCTGTGAGCAGACAAAGGTTCATCGAGACGCAGGAGCTCCTCGATTGCTTGTGGCACGTTAAATACTTTGCGGCATCTGGCGGGTTTCCTAGTGAAGTAAGGTGTTTCACTTCGGAACGGTGTCTTTCCAAATCCCTAATGGCTGCACTGCCTTCCGCTGCTGGACTCCCGGCGCCACGAGTCGCGCAGCAGCTCAGCGAGGTGGACCCGTTTGTGGTATAGGATAGATCTTAAATCCCTAATAATCCTTTGAGAGACCTGTGTTGCGACTGCCGCTTGGGAATGTTTGCCAGATGCCGCCGGGTTTCTTCTTCTGAGATAGTATACCTTGGGTTGATACACAGGGTGTCACCAAAGCCTGGGGCTCTCGATGAATGTCTGCAGCTAGAATCAATCTTTCTAGAGGAGGCTCTGGACCACCGTGATCCCTGCATTAGTCCTACTAGGCCCTCGTGGATTATCCGGTGTGGATAGACACGAAATAAGGACCCATAAGCCCGTTGCGTTCCCCTGGAGTCTGTTGAATCGGCTAAGAAACATACGCTGGCCTGTTGTGGTTTGAGATGAAGAGCGAAACCCTAATTCCCTACTCCTTTCAGAGACCAGTGTTGCGACTTCCGTTTGGGGATGTTTGTCAGCTGCCGCTATGTTTCTTCTTCCATGATAGTATACCCTGGGTTGGTTATAATGCGTGCTATGGAGGCTCGGGGCTCCCGATGAACCTTTGCAACTACAATCAGCCATTTTCACGAGGCTCCGGACCACCGTAATCCCTGGGATGACCTCTCCCGGCACCTCCTCAGGCCGCCTCTCCAGTGCTGGTGTCCCACTTCGTCCAGGCCGAGAGGGTCGCTTGGGAAGGAAAATGAATTGGCCCTCAGCCAGGTTGCACATCGCCTTCTGGATTGTCGCTTTGCAGAAGGTGCTGTTCGACCACCGTCTGCAACACTCTCGCTGGTTTGGGACGTTGCTTGCTTGCTTCGACGCTGTCTTGCGAAAGAGCGAGCAAGCGACGTCGCCGCCGCAGGAAAAAGGATCGCTTGCTTCGACGCTGTCTTGCGAAAGAGCAAGCATGGATGTGGCTACTACTACTACTACTACTACTACTACTACTACTACTACTACTGCTACTGCTACTGCTACTGCTACTCCTACTACTACTACTACTACTACTACTACTACTACTACTACTACTACTACTACTACTACTACTACTACTACTACTACTACTAATTACTCCTACTACTACTGCTACTACTACTACTACTACTGCTGCTGCGACACGATCGAGGTCCAGGTCAGGGGATGAGCCCTCACGCTATGGGGATCTCGATTAAGCGTTCCCACACATAGAGCATAGAGTGAACTACATCCGAGTCAAGTGCATGGTACATAGATGACTCCATGGCTCTGTGACTCTATCTCGCTATGACTCTATGACGCTATCTCACTGTAACTCTATGACTTTATGACTCATGACTCATGGACTCTATGACTCTTGACTGTATGTGCCTCTCGAGGTCCAGGTCAGGCTATGAGCCCTCACGCTATGGGGATCTCGATTAAGCGTTCCCACACATAGAGCATAGAGTGAACTACATCGAGTCAAGTGCATGGTACATAGATGACTCCATGACTCTGTGACTCTATCTCACTATGACTCTATGACGCTTTCTCACTGTAACTCTATGACTTTATGATTCATGACTCATGGACTCTATGACTCTTGACTCTGTGACTTTACGATCCTATACACTGGATCTATCACATAGCCCCACACTCTTCGCTGATGATGCTTTCGGGCCAATTGTCTTCTAGTTCTGATTCTTGTCTGACACTCAAATATGTCTGCCGCAATTGTTCTTTTCTGATGGTAAACAGAATCTCCCAATCTCTGCTTGACTGTTGATCAAGGGACACAGACCTGGCTGCGGGAATGTGAGTTTGAGATTTGGACGATAAAATCAGTCATGACAAGTGGAGTTCACACACCATGCAACATGACACGGCCGAATCTGGCCAGGGCTTCAGACACGAATTGGAAGCTGGAAGGCACTCCTGTGCAGTGCTCATGTTTTAAGAAATGCTGCTTTTTCCTCGGCACGCTACATTTTTCGCATGCAGCTGCCATTTTCGAAGGCACTGCACTTTTTTGTTCCCCAGGGTTTTGTTGACGAGCGTTGTTGTCTGTGTGTGTGTGTGTCTGTGTGTGTGTGTGTGTGTGTGTGTCTGTGTGTGTGTGTGTGTCTGTGTGTGTGTGTGTGTCTGTGTGTCTCTGTGTGTCTCTGTGTGTCTCTGTGTGTCTCTGTGTGTCTCTGTGTGTCTCTGTGTGTCTCTGTGTCTGTGTCGGTGTCTGTGTCTGTGTGTGTGCTTTTGTGCTTGCAGCGCTGTTTCTGTCAGATCGATGGGTGTGCTCTTGCTGACCCGACCGCTCCACACACGGCCCGGTCCAAACTCGTACGTGGCCGTGTGCTTGGTCCTGGACGAACCTTGACGTGCCATTTGGCGTCACGGCGTCTCCTCCTGTCCCCCGGACGACTCGCGCCGGTTGTGCTACTCGCTCACACTCACGATGCTTTCGTGATCTGAGCTCTTGTGGCGCTGCATGTCGGGCAGAGGTGGCGTTAACTGCGCAGTGCAGTTGTGTGACCATGCTCCGGGTCGAAGCGTGGAATCGCCATGATCTGCAAACTCTTGTTGGACAGTGGTGCGATCGGAGCCGCCTGCATGGGCAGGACCGGCTGAGCGGCGCCGTCCGCGACACGTCGCCAGGGTCCAAGTGTGTAGGAACGTCCAGGATAGGCCCCAGCCTGGCCACATGTGGACGCTACAGAGCGGGAACTCACCATTGGCCCGGTGGGGGCACCAAGGGGAGGCCTTTAATCTTCTTATCCGATTGCCTGAGCAGCTGTGAGATTGCGATGGGTGCTAGTGTCCTTTGCAAGTTTGCGTCACATTGTGCTCAGCATGTGAGTGTGCCGGTTTGTTCATGTATCGACATACATACATACATACATACATACATACATCATATGATTTATATACATATGTATATATATATATATATGTACATATATATATATATGTGTACGTATGACAGGGTTGAGGTCACCTCCGCTTGGATTATGCCTGCCAGCAGCATATTGCGTGCTTTGTGATTGCCGGAGCGACCGTGCGAAGTGTGCATGTCCAGATGTGCTTAGAAGCATTGAAATCTCTTGACGCATAATCCTGCAGCATTTCGCATTGTGTCTGTTGTGAGTGTGCCTGCAGCTCTGTCAGACCCAGTAAAGGGTTTTTGCTGGTCGGGTCGCACATTTTGCAGAGCTTTTGGTTGCAAGCTGAAGAACAGCAGGGCCACATGAAGTCCTGAAGTCCTCTAGATACAGACGATCGCCAAGGCACTGTAAGTAAACGCTTTCTGCTGACCCGACCGCTGCGCGCTGGATGGCTGAAAGCCATCGGCCTTTCTGTCTGTGCTTGTGATTGTACATGCACTGCCGACCCGACCGCTGTGAGCCTTTCCCAGGCGAGGACGGCGTGGAGCAGCTCCGGCAACTGAGCGCTGGATGGCGGAAACCAGCTCCTTCATCTCTGCACAAACAGAAAGTGACGCTCTCAGCCGAAGTGCTTGAAGTGGCCGCGCAGAGGAGGGGCGGTCCGAAGGCGGAGGCAGAGACCCAGACAGCAGGTGGCGTGGCCGCCTTCGCCGAGAATGCAAGGTGCTGATCTTCTGCTGCGGATTGATCAACTTGGTGTTCGGCTCAGCCTGTGCCGTCTCGGTCCTCGCCTCATCGGTTTCCGCGCTTCTCCGCCAGACAGCGGGAACTCACCATTGGCCCGGTGGGAGCATGAACCAAGGGGAGGCTTTTCTGTGTCTGCTTGTGATTGTACATGTATACTGCTGACCCGACCGCTCCAAAGCTGCAGCGACGGGTCCTTGTAATGGTGCTCGCGTAAAAAGTTCCACTCGTGTGACACAGCACGGCGCATACGCAGACGCAGCTGATGCTGAAGACACCGTCGGGGCATCCGTCGTAGCGGCAAGCCTTGGCCTCTCACTTCGGCGTGCCTTTTGGCTCGGCGCTCTCCGCGACATTCCTGGTCGCAGTATACTGGTACCACCACACTCACCATTAGCCCGGTGGGGCACAAATCAAGGGGAGGCCGCACATGTTCTTTTCCGAGTGCGACATGCAGCAGCCTTGAGATTGTTCATGGGTGCGAGTGTTGTCTGCAAGCTTTTGTCACGCTGTGTTCGGCATGCGCATACATGGCCACTATGCCCAACGCTGCTTCTTGTTTACGCAGCCACACACATGCGAGCCCTGTGTGAGATTTTGGCTTTTCTCGGCAGCGTCCACAGACTGTGTATGGCAGTGTAGCGGCAGAGTCCAGCTTTTCTTTCTCCGCCATGGCGCCTGGGCCGCCAAGGAGAATAGACATGCTGCGAGCTGCAGACCGGGATGGAGATGAGTCCGGGAGAAGTTGGCCAAGCTCTGACGATGATGGCGGCGGCCCACCTGTCACGACGGAGATGAGAGCAGGGGGCTTTTTGCTCATGCTGCTTCGGGAAACGGATGCGGACCTGCTCGGAACGCTGGCCAACCGTTCGCAGGCGGATCGGATACCCTACCTATAAACACCAACCGTACCCTACCCTAGTCATGAAAACGTCTGCAGACAGACACAGTGTCTGACTCTTAATCGCACGAGCCACGCAAGCTCAGAGAGGGGGAGGGAGAGGGAGAGGGCGATATGCATGACTTTTCTGGCTCATGACTGTGGCCCGATTGTGTATAGAGCGTTGCCATGACGAGAAAAACAAGTTTCAATCGGGGTCTGAAAGGTCGTCGAGATAAGCCCCCGCTAGAGCTAACGCCGGAATATGTCTTCAATCAGCGGAGACTTCCTCAACATCGGCCGTAGCCAGACTCGAGGCGGCAACAGATAGGTCCTGCAGACGAGCCCCAGCCAGGCCGGCTAGGCTCCATGACGAGAACAAGAACAACGGAATTCCTTCGGCTCCGTGGGCGGTTAAACGGTCGGCGGAGAGATGAGCCCCGGCCGCCGCGGAGAGGTCCTGAAGATGAGCGCCGGCCAGGATCGTACTTCTTCGCAGGCGAATTCGTGTTGCGTGCCTTGGTGGGAGGCATCAGTCTTCGGGTTCTGTGTTTGGTGTGGACAGAGCTTGCCATACAGATGAGTTCTTGGCACTGCCTTCAGATGAAAACACTCATGAGAGCATTCAGGTCAAGGTGGCGAAGCTTAACTTCATGCCTCGTCTTGCTTGCGTGTTTTGCTGCAAGACAGGTCGGTGGCTTTTCTCCACCTGAGCTTGTTGGCAAACTGCTCTGCAGTTGTGTGACCATGCTCCGGATCAAAGAGTGGAACCGCCCTGATCTGCGAAGTCCTGAATGGTCGTCCTGCTATTGGGCTGACCACGGCTGGCGAGAAGCCTTGGCGGCAGAGGCAGATCTCATTGCCGGAGGCAGCAGAGAGACCGAAACAAAGGGTTGAGGGCACCTCCCCTTGCTTTGAGATTTTTGTGCCCCCCAGGGCCACAATGGCGGGTTTTCCCGCTCCGTCTCCACGTTTCACCCTGGCCACAGATCCGCGAGCCGCGGAAGAAAATGGAAGAGAGCCTTGTTTGTGTAGCCCTGGATGTGGGTCCAAATGTATTTGTGTACTTGTGATTGACGCTTCATGCACTGGTCCCACTCAGCTGCGAACATAGTGATAGCGCGTGCGACAAGAATGGGGCCCCGGCATTCGCGACAGAGGCCTTCTTCTGCTCGCTCCTCAGAAAAGAGACCTGAGTTGTTTTCCGCTCATGACTCACATACACAAATCCCTAGCTCAAGGGACATCTCACACATGTCTCTGGGTGTTTGTGGCTCCGTCATCCGGACAAGCACTCTACGAAGGAAGCTCACAGCATGCAGTGCTTCTTGAATGAAGCCAGAGATATTTGCAACTCGGTGTGTATGTGTCGCATCGTTTTTGCTTATTCGTATAAAAGCAAAACATTTTGTTCAGTACCACAATGCAATCCTCGTGTAGAGATGTGTATGTATATATATATATATATATATATATGCTCGCCCCCCCCCAAGATCTACGTCTGCAGGTTTCCGGAGTCTGGATTTCCTGATTTCCGGCTTTCTGCAGTACGTAGGTTTCCAGATTCCAGATTTCCAGATTTGCAGGCTCTAAGTTTCCAGATTCCAGATTTCCAGATTTGCTCACCCTAAGGTTTCCAGATTTCCAGAAATCTGGAATCTGGAATCTGGAAACTTAGAGCCTGCAAATCTGGAAATCTGGAATCTGGAAACTTAGAGCCTGCAAATCTGGAAATCTGGAATCTGGAAACTTAGAGCCTGCAAATCTGGAAATCTGGAATCTGGAAACTTAGAGCCTGCAAATCTGGAAATCTGGAATCTGGAATCTGAAAACCTAGAGCCTGCAAATCTGGAAATCTGGAATCTGGAACTTATCCTGCAAATCTAGAATCTGGAAACTCGAGGACGTGTAGAAACATGAGCATCAGCCGTGGCCTCATGAACATCAGTCGGCTTCGGGGCTGGTCCAAAACCAAAACCGCCTGGTCAGAAATGGTCTTTGAGATTGATCATGGTCAAAAAGAAGTGAATTTGCTTAATGTACCACTCAACAACGAGGTCATGGGGTAGCGGCTCCAGTTATTGCAGTGCCATGCAGCGCCGCTGATGCTCATGATGCGCGTGTCTTGTCCGCCTCCAAACCTGCTGATGCTGGTCCTAAAACCAAAACCGCCTGGTCCGTCTCGTTCTCCCACAGCCGAAATCTTGAGCCAGTGAGTGTTTATGAGAGGGTCTAGTGAAGAGGGACATGCGATATGTGATGGGTGCGCAGCTGTGCACAATCAAGTGTGACTCCAAGCCTATTGAAATCTTGCCGCACACGAAGCCATGGCAATCCACCCGGACGAGGTGCGGTTCAACCGCACAAAACATGTAATGCTCAAAAACAGCAACTTTTCCAACCCTTGAAACGCACGAAACACTGCTATGCTCAAAAAATTCCAAACTTTTAAGGAATCTGCCCCCGGCTTGGCCATAGATGCCAGAATTTTAGAATTTTTAGATTTTTGTTGAACAGTACAGTGTTTCGTGAGTTTCAGGGCTGGAAATTTTGGAATTTTTTGAGCATCACAGTGTTTTCTGATGTCCAGGACAGGATAATATATTGCATCACAAGATAATTGTGTGCTTTCAAACGTTGTCAAGGACTGGAAGTAATGATTTATGTGTCTTCTGGAACGACAACGGTTTTCATTACTCTTGTTTGGTAAGTATGAAAAAGGCCTAGTCGTTGCATAGTTTATTTCATGTATGTTTTCGGAGGTTGGTAGATCTATGGCACCAGCAGCACTGGCTCCAGCACCTGAGCTTTCTCGAAAATGACTTTGGCCATTCTTCGGCAAGCTGCACCGCCTACAGATCCATCACTGTAGCAGCGCAAGCCTATCTAGAACTTAATTCATTTCATGTTGAAGACTGTGGGAAACTGTTTGCATCTGCCTATCATCAGAAACAATGGAGACTTCCTATTCGGTTTCCTATGAGACATCCTCATACCTATCAAGCAAGAGACATGAAGATTCCTGCTAACCCAGAAGAGAATTCTACGATGTCACCTGTAGTCTTTGAAGACTGAAGAGAGGTCCTTTTCATGTTGTGATACGAACTATGACAGCGTTTAAACCACAGTCACAGACAGAAGGACCGGTATCGCTTTGTCAGGATGTGAGGGAGGTGTAGAAACCGATGCAAGTCTTATGCCTCTTGCCCGTTTAATAACAGATACCAGTAAGCAAGCTTCTTTTTGTTTCCTGATCACATTTGGGGAGTGTCGGTTGAAGATTGAAGAGAGCTACTTTTTTCCGCTACGTTCTATGACAGCAATTAGAGAAACAGTCATGGACATAGCGATCGGCATCTTCTCCGGGGTATAGGACAGCATCATTAATATGAGTTAACCGAATGAAAACTCATGGCCCACATGAGTACCCTCAAAATAGATAGCGATTGCTTTGCACATGGCTGCCTTTAATACCGACTCACAACATAAAGAGGAGTTTTCTTCCATGAAGTGCCATTTTACTTGGTTTTACAAGGTTAAGGAGCCCCTGCCTTGTGATTGATACGTATCAATGCAGCCAGTCGTAATTAGTCCTGCTTCATGTTTGGAAGGTTGCAAGAGCTCTCTTACTTCTTGCTGCAGACGAGCCTTCTTGTGCGCCCGCATATGCACATGAACTTTCCAACTCCAGGGGAGCTTTCCCATTTTTTATAAGGCAAAAAACAACTATTGGAGTATTGCTTCAAAAATAAATGCGCCCGTATATTTGACTTCCTCCATGTATAACGGACAGGACATGAAAGGAGCTCTTTGTGTTTCGTAATTCATAAATCAAATGCTAGAGCTATTAGGCCGCATCAGAATCGGACGCTCACGAGCAGCGGGAAAGAGATGGCCCACGCACACAGACGTCTTCGTAAGAGAGACAATAGTATTTTTATTATTAGAGGAATGTCGTTAAATAACACACCATCAAACGCAAAAAACACGAGGTTTTTTAGTACTACCTGAACAAAAATAGCACGCCCTCCAGCATTTCAGCTTCTCCAGCGTATAAACTACCATAAATCTGCTGCCGGGATTCGGCGCCAGACTTTTACAAATATCAAACACGCGACTTGTAGCAGTACGGTTTGCATGCACATGGAGTAAAGCACAAGTGTATCGGAATTTACGGTGTTTTCGGCATATATGAATAGTCGACCAATGTAGAGAAGCAACCTGTGGAATTGTGCGGAAGGGGCGGATGTAGATCTTGGGGGGGGGGGTGACCATGTATATATATATATATAGAGAGAGAGAGAGAGAGAGAGAGAGAGAGAGAGATATAGAGGGATGGATAGATGTATAGATAGATAAAGAGTCACAAAACACCGCCCCAGGCTACGACAGGATTAAGCGGCGTGCTACCACCTGCAGCCTGGTGACGGCGGGGCTTGCACAAGCTGCGCACAGAAGGGGCAAGCCATGAGGGGAGGAGGCCTAACCCTCTCCCCTTTTGCCTCCTTCTGATGAGGCACTGAGCAGAAACAACTTCGTCTTGCCACCAGCTGCCAAAGCCCCGCCGCCACCTTTTCCTCCAGCCCCAGAAGCTGCCAAAGCCCCGCCTCCTTCTGCAAACCCGGCTGCTGCATCATCTTCAACAGGCCCAACACCAGCCATGAAAGCTGGTTGCAAAGCCCCGCCTCCCTTTGCAAACACGAATGCAGCAGGCCCACCCCCGGGAACACCGCCTTTTAAACAACCACCCCCGAAGCCAAGACCTCCGACACCGCCGAACCAAGAGCCTGAGCTCGAGTCTGAGTCCGTCGAGCCTCCTCCGCACATCGTGGTGGACGACGACCAAGGCAACTACGTGGGCAGCTTCTATCGTAAGCAGTGGCAGCAAACAGAGGGTTGGAGACCGAGAGAGCAAGCGTCCTATTACTTTCAGGAGGACATTGGCTTGGGGCCGAACAAGTTGGCCTACAGATGGTGTGCAGTGTGCAGCTGGCAGTCGTCTGGTGATTGCCACCACTT